AAAAAAGAACAAGAAACCCTAAGTCATAGATCACAGGAAAGCTGTAGTCAAGTAAAGTATGAAGAAAACAAAACTGGGTAGAGAGGCAAATAGCAAAGGTTTAGGGCGGGAGAAGCCTGGAGGCCAGTATATCCTAAGGTGAGCAGCATTTCAGAAAGACAGGAGCTGCTCATTTGTCTGCTCCCATGCTGAAGAGCACAAACTTGAAAGGCTTAACACTAGATTTCATCAAATGTCAATTTGAAAACCAGGCACAGGCTACAGTCCCCCTTGAGTGCAAGGGAATCTATAAGAGCTAGGTAAGGACTGAAAGCAGCTCTAGAGACAGAATCTAGTACTCATGAGAACTAACACCAGGATTAGTAGGGGTTCTTTATTTGGGATTCAAATTTGTTCTTCTCTGTTATAGTAAAGGAGCCACCTATAGCTGAGGACAAGGAAGTCTAAGAAAGCAGAATCAACAGTGGTTACAAGAGGGCTTACTTTCCTTAACGTACTTTTCACGAAAGCCCTAAAGTAGTGGCTGTTAATCTGTTTGGTGGTTTTGAGAACTTGATGAAAACCATGGATCCACTTCCTAGAAAATACACATACACATGCAATTTTGCGTACAATATAAAAAACTTTACAAAAATCTCTAAATCTATCCATGTGACCCTCTAGGACTTCACTGACCAATATGGGAGCCAGTAGGTAGCACTTTAGCAACACTAGCTGCATTTTAAGTGCTCAGTAGCCACCACAGCAGTACGTTCTATTGGACAGTGCTGCTCTAGAATTTCATGAACCATAAGTTAAGAACTCCTGCCTCAAATGAACCCCGATAGATCTGCTGGCCTGTAACCCCATTCCCAAATAGCAACTACTTTCTGTCTGAATACACATAGGCCTCAAAGAAATGGAGGAAGAGTATTAACAGTAATTTTGAGTAACTCTGAACATCCATGTAGCTTTAAGTATCCACTAATAACCTAAAATCAAAAGGAACTTACATAGCAAATAATTCATCCTTCATTCTTCCCATCTCAAGGTATGTATAGTTTTGCAAACGTTCCCATCCTGCAATATTAATCCAAGTGGCTTTTCTATGAGATAGGGTAAGTCTTCAGGAATTTACTGCACACTGATAATAGCTAATATTTATTGAGTTCACAGTAAGTGCTAGGTACCGTTCTAAGCATCCTACATATGTTAGCTCATTTAATCCTCACCCAATGTTATAAGGTAGGTATAGAATTATCCCCTCAAAACAGATGAGGGTCTGAGGTTTGGGGCTTAGCGAGATTTAATAACTTGTCTGAGATGACACAGTAAGTGCCAAATAACTGGTTATAAGGTTAGAATCTATAGTCTCTTGTAATATATCTAAAACATGAAAATGGTCTTAGATGACTCTGAGGTCACGTTTTCTGAAATGGACCTATACCTGGTCATGCGTTGAGGCCTCTGGGCCTGCATTTACAACAGCTTGTGAACCTGTCATTTTCCCTGGCATAGAACAAGAAAATACTGAGGACTCTTTCCACCCCGACATTCAAAATCAACCCTCTCCATCCCCACATCACCCTTTACCATCATGGTAGCCTGAACTTCAGCGACAGACTAGCTGTGTGACTTTGAGCAAGTGATTTAACTGACACTCGGTGCCATTATCTGTAACATGGGCATGATAATAGCGTCTGCTTCCGACAACTTTGTGTGTTATGAGAACCAGTTGCATGTAAGCAGGCGCTCAATAAACGGTACTGGTTGTCACGATTCACTCCTAGGACGCTTCTATCTCCTGAGCCCACAGGCCTGACCGTTGCTGAAGGGAATGGAGGAGCTGGGGGGGGCCTTGGCCATGGACACCCGCCTCACCGTTGGGCCACCCTCCTCCCTTGCGGACACAAAGCCTTCAACTGCGCCGGGCAGGGAACCGACCCTCCGGGTTTGCTTCCAGTCTCTCTTCACAATGAAAGTTCACGGCCGAGCTAGGAGTAAATAACGATCCCGCTCTCGCAGGGCTGGACAATGAACGGCAAGTCCCAGACAAGTTTAAAATCGTGAGCCGGTGGCGCGGGGCCAAGTCCCGAGCGGTCCACGGGGACGTCCAGCGGTCCAAAGCAGGGCTCTGGCTGGGCAGGGGGCCGACACCGGCCACCAGTCCCAGGCCCGCATACCCCCAGCACTACCGCGCGGGTTTGACGGTTTCCCGGTTCCGGTCTTCGCCGTTCCCGCACCTGCCCATGGAGCAGGCGCAGGCGCAGTCACCTGCCGCACCACGGACTGCAACTCCCGGCAGGCCCCGCGGGACGCTGACTCGGGCGGGGCAGCTAATTTCCCGGCCTCCCTGAGACGCCCAGCTGGCGGTTGAGTTCGCCCCGGCTGGAGAGCCTCCGAGGCCGCCGGGGCGGGTGGGGGCCTCTCCTACAACCCTAAGTAACCGAAGTGGGTAGATACTGCCTTATATCCGTCATGTCCCGGACGGTGATTCTCAAACTTGCTTGTGGGTGAATAATTTCTCGGGGGGATGTTAACAGTTCAGATTTCAGGGCCCACCTCGACACTCTGAAGAACTGGATCTCGCGTGGCTCGAGGGTTTGTATCTTAGTGAGATTTCCGGAGAATTCTCACCCAGGTAGCTCTCCGGTCACACCCCTTTTGGGATTATTGTCCACAAATCGACTTAGCGACCCCATTCCCACCCAGCTGCCAACTCCAGGGACCTCTGAGGTCTCGGGGCTTGCCGCATGGCCCCGCCTCTCGTCTCCAATTGGCCTCTTGCTTCTTCGCCTCTTGCAGGTAAATCTTCCCTTCTGGTTGGTCAAATCTGTGCCGAGATTTGACCCGATGGGCGCTACAGTTCGCAGAACGTGACCCGGAAGTTGGTTCCGGGCAGGCGCAGTTGGCTGTGGACGCTTAACTCGCGCTCTGAAACTTCCGACGTGGGAGCCAAACACTGAGTCCTGCGTGAGTCCGCGACGACGCGAAAAGCGTGGCGCTCAGGTCCTGCCCTAAGGAGGTCCTGGGGAGGGCTGGCCAGGGGGCCGGCGCGACGGCGACCGTGACCTACTGAGGCCTAAGTGCCGGACGCGGCTGCGACCGGGCTGAAGGTGGGCTCTTCGGCCGTAACTTGAAGTCCCGGGTCCCCCGGCTCTCGCGGACGCCTGCCATCCCTGAGTGGGACCGGAGGCTCCGTCTCAGGCAGGCGCAACTGGTTTTGGGGGCTACCACACTCCGGGGTCCTGACGATGGCGTCGGACCCGGGCTATCAAGACCGGGAAGGGCTCCTGATAGTGAAACTGGAAGAGGACTGCGCCTGGAGCCAGGAGCTGTTGCCGCCAGACACAGGGCCTAGCCCGGAGGCCTCGCACCTGCGCTTCAGACGGTTCCGCTTCCAGGAAGCCGCTGGCCCCCGGGAAGCCCTCAGCCGGCTCCAGGAGCTTTGCCATGGGTGGCTGCGGCCTGAGATGCGTACTAAGGAGCAGATCCTGGAGCTGCTGGTGCTGGAGCAATTTCTAACCATCCTGCCCCAGGAGATCCAGAGCAGGGTACAGGAGCTGCATCCGGAGAGCGGCGAGGAAGCGGTGACCCTAGTGGAAGATATGCAGAGGGAACTTGGGAGACTGAGGCAACAGGTGAGAACAAGAGCTGCTTTACCTGCGATTTGTTTGGCCCCAGGACTGGGACAGCGTGCTGGCTCAGTTCCCCATATGAATTTAATTGGTTTCCCTGAATAGGCCTTACATGGGCAAGAAGCCTTTTTGTAGTTCAGTCAGGAACATTCATGATCCAGATTTTACCCAAGTGGATAGAGTGAATAGTGAAGAGTGCCCTGTTTCCATATGCAGGCAGTGTCTCTGCATTAGTGTGAGCCCTGGAATTAGCTCTTAGGGTTCAAATTGTCACTCTGTTATACTAGCGTTGTGACTTTGGGCAAGTTACTTAATCTTTTGGGGTCTCAGATATGTTACTGGTAAATTGAGAATGAAAAAATACCTTTCTAGGGTTGCTTTGAGGGTTAGAAAGAGAGCAGCATGTAGTTTTGGTCACACTATTGACTTATATTATAGTTAGTGTTTGATATCTGTTAGCTCTTGTTAGGGCCAGCAGTCTGGCCTTCTATGCAGAGGTGGGTGGGGGTTAATTGTGGACTTAGAAAACCAGCTTGGCACTGAGACTCTGAGAGCATTTGCCCCCAGGGCCACCCAAGTTTAACTTATTCAGTAGTGAGGAATAGAAGCATCTAGAAAAAGTGGGGAAAGCAAGAGGGAGTGAGGTGTGTCAGAAGAGGTGTGTGGGGAAGGCGTTCTTTAGGAGTGGACTCTTCTATCTCCCACCACCCACCCCATTTTCTCACATGCACATGGGATCAGAAAAGGGTGGAAATCGCCCTTTTCTCTTGCTGGTTTTCTGAAGGCTTGCCTTCAGAATAATGCACTTATTTCCGTTCCTGTGGGGCCCTGTTGTGATGATGAGTGATGTGGGTTGGTTCCCAGGTCACAAACCATGGGCGGGGAACAGAAATGCTTTTGGAGGAGCCTTTGCCTCTGGAAACAGCACGAGAGTCACCGAGCTTCAAGTTGGAGCCAATGGAGACTGAGCGAAGCCCTGGCCCCAGGCTGCAGGAGCTGCTAGGCCCCAGCCTTAAAAGGGACCCCCAGGCTGTAAAGGAGAGGGGTGAGGAACAGTCATCTGGGCAGGTGGGAGGGAGGAGGGGCTTTTGGGTTGCCCCTGACAGCAGGATGGAGCGCCACTGCCAAGGAGAGGGAATGTCTGGCTTCAGGGTTCCCAGAATGGAATGAAAGATCTAGAAGTAGTGGTCAGGTTCTTCTTGGGATGGGAAGAGGGAGGGGGATCCCTTAGTAAGTAAGCCCGTTTGTATGCAGAACAGAGACATTTAGAGCTAGATAAATGATTGAGGGATTGAATGCTGCAGACTGCTGGTTGGTATTCCTTACCCTTACTCTGGCGTTTAGGATGTCATTTTGGATATGGCTTTATTATGCCTATCTTGCCTTGTTTTGTTCAGTGTTCACTCCTCAGAGCAGAGACTGGGTGTGGGGGAATGGATACTGTGTTGTAATAATCCCTGGGTTGCCAATAACTAGGAATGTCATTCTCATCATGATTTCTGTCACCTTCAGCATTATCTGCTCCCTGGCTTTCTCTCTTTCCTCCTGAAGGAAACATGGACGACAAGGAGATGACTGGGCCCCAGGTGATGTGGAAGTTCCCAATGTCTCCCCTTAGCACCCCTCCCATGTTGTTCTTGTGGTGGTTGGGTCTTTTTGCCACTTGGAGAGGATCCTTCCTCCCTCACCAGCACACCTCCCCCACCTTATTTGCCTCCTTCTCACCTCACTCCTAGGCCTGGCACCCTTCTTCCCCATGAAATGTGTCCTTGGCACGCCCGGGTTTTGCCCCTTTAACCCATGACTCGGCTTGAATTGTTCTTGGTGCCTCTGGGGCTAAAGGAGATCTTGTGCTGTTTCAGTTGCCTCAGAGCTTAGAGGACGTGGCTATGTACATCTCCCAGGAGGAGTGGGGGCATCAGGATCCTAGTAAGAGGGCCCTCTCCAGGGACACGGTGCAGGAGAGTTTTGAGAATGTGGACTCACTGGGTAAGGACTTCTTTTCTAGGGATGAAGACTGAGCCATTTCTGGCCAGGGTCATATCCATTAGCCACTCACCTTCTGGACTTAAGTTCCCAATTTTTCCAAAAGGCCTCCCTGTGTCTAAAATCCCCTGGATAGTATCAGTTAAACATCTTCCAAGTGGCACATTTGGCATACTATGGGCCCCAGCTGCCAGAGCCGAAGGCAGGGAGTCGGAGCCATAATGGACTTCCCAGGGCTGAACAAATCAAATCCAGTGACTGCCCCCACTCCCTACTCCCCACTTTCAGTGTCCTAGGATGCCGTGAGGTTCTAAGTTCTTGTAATTTGGAAGTGCTTATTCTTGAACTCACTTGTGTTTTCTATGCTTCGTTAGTATTTCTAGGCCCTTCCCCAAAGATACAAATTTCAGGGGTAGTGGCATCAATATTCCAGCTTAGTAGCCGTCCTAGCCCTTAGAAATTCAGGAAGCAGGGAAGGCCTTGTGGAAATTTGGTAATGATATATATATATCCAACACTGGAGTTAAGAGTATTAAGCATAAATTAAGATGCATTTATATGTTGAACTATGCAGAGATTTACAGTGAAACCTATGAAATATGACAAAAACCTGATAATTTTTTAGGTGGAGAGTATACAACAACTTGTAGGATTTAGGTGAAGAGTACTATTTAATTCCTTCAATTTTTCTGTGTGAAAATTCTCATAATAAAAAGATAGGAGAAGTCTTAAAAACAACATAAGACAGGAACGTGTCTATTACAATTACGGCTACATTGCTGCACACAGTAGAAGAATCACACTGCACTTTGTTTTCATACATCAAGTTTTCATAAAGAGAAGTGCAGCTATCAGCTCACTTGAACTAATTCTGCAAAAGGGTCACTTGGCTGTGGCTCGGTGCCCTAAGTTGAGCACAGCTCTTTCAGTGAGTGTGCTCCATAGGAAGAGAAATTCAACAAGTTATTAGAACTAAACTGTTTGAAGTCCATGTTTGCTTGAGTTGGAGTGAGGTTTTTGTTTTCAGCATAGCACAGGAATGCTACTTTTGGATTTTGAACTTGGGGTCCTCTCAGAGCCCCAGATCCTTTTCTGGTTGTCCATGATATTATATTTCCTCCTCCTGGAGTTGCCTAAACTTATTTCTATTCTCTATTTATATGTAAGAGTTAAGGCTCTTCTACAATATTAAACTGATTCCTCAAGGAACTGACCACTCTGACTATGTTCATTGATTGTTTTAATTACAAGTCTACATTATCACTGCAACCCCCCAGGTACTACAGAAGTATAAAAAGAAAAAAGCTATAGTCTCTCCCAATTTCTTTCTCTAGAAGTAACCACTGTGAACAGGTTAGTGTATATTCCTAGTAATTGCTGTCAGACTTATTACACCTTCTGTATCCACCCACTGAGGGCAGGGAAGAAAACTATCTTTGTTTCCTTGCCTGCTGGAGGAAAGAGATGACATAAAAATTTATTTTTTTCATTGTGAACAGAGTCTCAGGTTCCCATTCAGGAAGCCCTGAGCACCCAGGTGGAACAAGGAGGAAAACCATGGGTTCCCAGTGTCCAGAGTTGCAAGGAGGGCGTGAGCCCCAGAAGTCCAGCTCCAGGTAAGGAATGAAAGACGAGCAGCCTGCCTAGCTAGCCTCCCCAGTTGGGAGTGAGACATTTGAGGGTTTGGGTGTGGGGCTAGCCCATCACCACTGCCAGGGAGGTACATTGCTTCCTGTGCCCCTACTGCCCACTTCCATCCCAGTGAGGCAGGTGAAGTACCCAGGGTATAAAATTTAACAAGGCATTCAATCCTGGGCTCAATTGCCCACCCTATTCCCAGCCCTGCTCCATTGTACCCATTTCTGAAGGGCAGAGGCCAGAGGCTCAGTTAAAGAAGGAGATGGGGGCCCCTGCAAGGGAATTCAAGATTGGTCTGAGCTCTGATTCCTGAGCGATAGCCCTGCCCCTTAACCCAGATGCCTCTCTAGTGTTTTCCCTGGATGGGGAAGATAGGAAACTGAGATAGAACCAGCTTTTCTGGACTTCTGACCTACTGATAGTAGCAGACATGTGGGATTTTCTTCTTTCTGGGGTAGAAATAATGTCGAGGTTTGGTTTCTCTCCCTCTACCAGGGGAAGAGAAATTTGAGAACCGGGAAGAAAGTGCTTGGTCCATTTCCCCCAAGAGCATTCATCCGCAGGCTCTGCTGCCTGGCCAGGCCAGAGGGGAGGTGCCCTGGAGTCCTGAGCAGGGACAGCTTGGGGACAGAGCAGAAGGGCATTGGGAGCCTCCCCCAGAGGGTCGGATGGAGCAGTCTTTAGTGGGGGCCACAAGTTGCAGAGAAGCGGGACGACCAAAGGAACTACAGTCGAAGAAGCTCCATTTATGTCCCTTGTGTGGCAAAAATTTCTCTAACAACTCGAACCTAATTAGACATCAGAGAATACACGCAGCAGAAAGACTGTGTATGGGTATGGGCAGTGAAATCTTTAGTGGAAACCCACACTTTCTATCACTGCACAGAGCACACTTGGGAGAAGAGGCCCATAAGTGCCTCGAATGTGGAAAAAGCTTCAGTCAGAATACCCACCTGACTCGCCATCAGCGGACCCACACAGGCGAGAAGCCCTATCAGTGTAACATATGTGGAAAAAGCTTCTCTTGCAACTCCAACCTCCACAGACACCAGAGAACGCACACCGGTGAAAAGCCCTACAAGTGTCCTGAGTGCGGAGAGATCTTTGCTCACAGTTCCAACCTCCTTAGGCACCAGAGAATTCACACAGGAGAGAGACCCTATAAGTGTGCCGAGTGTGGGAAAAGTTTCTCTCGCAGCTCTCACCTTGTCATACACGAAAGAACTCATGAGAGGGAGAGGCTTTACCCCTTCTCCGAGTGTGGGGAAGCAATAAGGGACAGCACCCCCTTTCTGACAAATCATGGAACCCACAAGGCAGAGAAGAAACTCTTTGAATGTTCGACTTGTGGAAAAAGCTTCCGGCAAGGCATGCACCTCACCAGACATCAGAGAACGCACACAGGAGAGAAACCATATAAATGTACCCTTTGTGGGGAAAACTTTTCTCATAGATCTAATTTAATCAGGCACCAGAGAATTCACACAGGAGAGAAACCCTATACCTGTCACGAATGTGGAGACAGTTTTTCTCACAGCTCCAATCGGATTCGTCATTTGAGGACCCATACAGGAGAGAGACCCTATAGATGTTCTGAATGTGGAGAAAGCTTTTCTCGGAGTTCACGCCTTATGAGCCATCAGAGAACTCACACCGGATAGAAACAATGGGATTTCGTTTTGTCCCAGATAAGGTGGTATATTCAGAGGGTCCTGTTGTTGAGAGCTGGTATTGCTTTTCCAGCTGACCAAATCATCTGTGTTTTTAAGGTAATTACTATAAAGAGTAAACAGGTGGGGATGTGTGAGGGTCATTGTGAGGCAGCAAAGGATTTGCATAAAACTAAAAAGGAATTCTGTTTTGAACTAGTGAGGATGGCAAGTCTTTGAGGTAACGTGCTAAGGGCAAAATTCTCTGTGATGTCTGCCCTGTCTCATATATATACCTACCCCCTTGGTATATTTATCAAGTTGTGATTTGGAGGCCTTACTGTGTCCGGTATCTTTCCCAGCAACTTTGGGAATCCATGCGACTTTCTGTTACTGCTTCCTCACTTGGGACATTCAACAGGAGCAGTTGAGCTCCTGAGGCCCTTGACACCAAAGAAGAGAGGCTGAGTCTCCTGGGAAACCAACTGGAGGGCAAGAAAAGACTGGTGGTGAGTTGTAGCTCTCCAGGGGCCCTGACAGGGAAGCCACCAGTACACCTCAGTGCTCGCTAGGAGAGTTCATTGGCAGGCCATGCATGTAAATGGCACCTCAGACAAAAGGGACCCAGAGACCTAAGGACCTAAGGGAAATAATAAGATGGAATTTTTAGGTCAGCCTAGGAATTGGCAGAGAGACTGGAGTCTTGAATTAGTCTACGCTTTGCAGAGATCAAGACTTCCATCTCTGTGAGAGAAAGATAAACAGAGCTCAGGAGTCTTCAGAGTTTTGTGTAAGATGGGTTCCCTGGGAGACTTTGAAAACATGGATCTTAGGAAGAAAATTAAGGATCATGCCTTTCCATTGGAGATATGTTTGGATGGTAATAAATATCTTTAGGAAATGTGAAAGTGTGTGACTCTTCATTTGACCTGGCCTCCAGTGTTGATCTGTCTCCCATCTGCTTTGTTTGGAGAACCTGCTTTCTCTTTGTGGTCTTACTGGGTTGGTTGGGAAGGGTCTGACAAAGGTGGCAGCAGACAGGCTGAGGGAGGTGTGACACTGGCCAGCTCTAGGCTGGGACTGCTATGTGGTAACAAAGGGTCAAGCCCAGTGGCTGCTTGGGGTGATGTTGTCATAATGGTCTCTGAGGTTTTCTTCTGTGGTGTACAGCAGTAAAAGTGTCTTTAATTCTTTGTTTAGAATGTTTAGTTCCTTGTGAAGTAACTGAAGGAAGATATGGCTCTACAAAGACAGGACATTTTGGTTTTGCAAATGAGTCCCAGGAAAAGATGGTTCTGATGTAAGTGAATTACTGCCCATTAACAGAAGATATATGGGGAGGGCAAAATTCTTAGGGGAAAGCATTATATTTTAGAATGGGCAATCAGGAATAGGAATTCTAGGCGTGTGTACCTATGAAAAAGAGGTAGAATACCAGGAAATATTCTAGGAGTGGGACATTCTGATGCCAGGAAAATACCTAACTAGCTTTTCTTTAGGAGAAAAAGGTGAAACATTTCATTGGCAACCAGCTATCAAATATAGCAATTTTAAGTGAGGGAAACAACCCTATATGCCCCACCCCTTTCTGATCAGTCTTATCTTAGCCCTGCCTCAGTTTAGTATGAGTTTTTCCTTCGTTTTCTGAGCTAATTTAAAAAAAAAAAAACAAAAAAACCTTAGTTTCTTATTTCTCTGCCTTTCTCTTATCCACAAGAGGGCAGTGGTAGTGTGGGGAGTGGGGTGGGAATTTGAGAGAGATTAATGTAGGATCCACAGTGGTAAGAGCAGGACAGGGCTGATGTGGCTGTTGGTGCCATAAAATGGGTGGGTGGTGTAAAGTTGATGTCACTAAGCACTCTCTTTGGTTAAGATGGCAACCTATGTGTGTTGTAAATCTCACAAGAATGGAAAGCTCTCTTTCACTCTCCCTCCTCCCCCCTCCCCCAGTAATATCACCCATGTAGATCTTAAGATGTGGGCCAAATGCTGGTGTTCCTACATGGAGCATTGGAGCTTGAGGCTTAGAGCAACAAGGGTCCCGAGGTATTTGCTTTTGGCACTAAAAAGGCTTTCTAATAGGAGCCTCCACCCAGTCCCCAATTTAGCTCCCTTTCTAGCAAACACCAGATGCATAGCTATTCTCAGCCTTGTTTTAATAAGATGATGTCAGGCAAATTATTGCAAGTAAAACATTTAGCACAGTACCTGGCACATAGAAAGTACTCATCTATCGGGGTGCCAAAAAAATGTATACAAGTGGACACTGTGGTTAACATTGCTCAAGTAGTAGTTCGCCATAATCAGAAGTGTCTGGATGCTGATGGTACTGTGAGCACCTCTTATCATTGCAGAAGTCAAATGTGACTTGTATTCATCTTTTGTTATCAGTATATATTGAGTATTTCAATTTTAATATAGTTTTCCTTTCTTAAAATGTGTATGCATTTTTTTGGCATCTTCTGTATTTGTGCCCTCTGTGGGCAGGTAATACTGGCAAGGTTGTCTTTCTTCTAGTTAGCTGGCACAGAGATCAAAGTTCAGATCACACTGGCAGGAACTTCAGGGAGAAGTCTGCTAGAGATAGGCAGGATTAATGCCATCTTCCCTTGTAGTCATATTTCAAAGAGCAAGGTCAGAGGCCCTTACTGCAGGCTCCCATGAGGTCACTGCAAGGGATGGCCAAGTGTATTCATACTTCTACATTACACACATATTTTGTACATACCTTTTACCTGCTAGTCCTCTTGTAAAAGAAACCAGAACAGATTCCAGTTGGCTTTTATGCCAAAGGGAGAATGATGCAATAAAGACTCCTGGCTCCCTAAGTCCAAAGGAGTACAGAGGAGACCTGGAAGATGTGTCCTGACCCTGAGTAATGGCCACACGTCCTTGTAGCAAATGTAGCACAGGAGAGCAGCAGAAAGGCTCCTGGGTGGAGAATCAGTAGCACATTTAAACAATGTGAAAAAGCCTGTCAGAGGCAGACTAAAAGCAAGCCAGACAGCAATGAGGACACTCTATAGGGCCAGAGACTGGAAGAAGTGTTAAAATAAGTATTAAATTGTTTATCAAAAACCACTAAGAATTTTTACTGCAGTAATGAATTTATGGGTCTCAAGATCATCATCTGAAATTTACTGTTGAACCATTACATTATCAACTGATACAATTTTGGAATAGGCAAAAATCACCACTACTGCTTTAAGACATGTAACTTTTGTAAATGTTTTGCAAGCATTTGAAACAACTAAGTCATGTAAAAGGTCTTAATGTGTTTTATAGGAAACCAACTGGCAAATTTATTAGCACTAGACTTCCTAACAACTTCTTTGAGTGTGGGAGCTCAAGAATAGCAAGATGAATTAAAGTAAGAGTGCATTTATTAGCATTTTCTTTTAACCTTCAATCTAGTTTGCAGGCACTTGATTTAAACTTGATTTCCATTCTTGAAAGGGAGATTGATAATTCCTTCTCATCATATAATTTTTACTACGAAGGTCTGAGTCTTGCCTGACTGATGCATTAGGAGTCAGTGGGAATGGTCTAGGTAAATTCAACAATGACAAGATGGTTGATGGAAAATGGCTTAGGCCACCCAAAAAATTCTGACAGATCTTCCAGTTAATGTCCTTAATTCATCACTGAGATACCTTGAATGTCCCAGAAGCTTGAGTCAAGTCAAAACTGGTGACTTACCAGGACCCAAACTTGCTCCAGGGAGACTAATATTTCCCCAGGCAGAAAGGGTGGGGAAAAAATACTAAGTTTATTTCTGAGATCCTGGGGTATGTTTTAGACATAATGAACTGTGTTTGCCTCTCCATCCTCACTTCCCCTCAAGGCAGAACCTGGGTATGGTTCCCCACTCAGAAGGTGAAGCTGCCTTTAAGGGGATACCCCGCTGTCCTGGGAAGGAGTCCAGCCTAACATTTAGGAATCCTGCCCCAGCCGCTGGAACAAGAGGTTCCTAGGTTTCTCGTAAGAGCTCTAGTCCTCAGAAATAATTTCAAGAACCAAAGACATAAGTCCTTTCTGAGGCTTGGACCAAGCAAACAAGTCTGTGGCTCTCGCAGTTTAGCCTTCCGTGGGCATCGGGGACCGGGTGCCACTTCCCTGGAAACACCCGCCTGCCCCACTGGACTGGTCCCAATCAGGATGGCTCTCCAGCAGATATCTGAAGGAGCAAGGGCTGACGGGGTGTCGGTGGCCGCCTCTGTCTCGGTCCCTCTTCCCTTCAGGCCCGCCTTCTGTTGGCGGCACTTCTCCACGAGGCCTTGGAGACCACCACCGCTACATAGCTGCCCCGGGCGGCTCCCTTCTCATACGGGCCTCGGACTGTGACCCCGCCCCACCCAGCCGCTCGGGCCAGAGCTCTTAGGTAGCGCCCAGTCACCGACTCGCCGCAGGCCGGACTGCCTGGGTAGAACCGGCACATGGCCGCAGGGCTTCCCCTCCATCCACGTGAGGATACTGGCCGCGCGACTGCACTCTCCGAAACATCCTCGTCCCATGGGTGTGCATACGCCAGCCCAGGCCGACTCTAGGCTCTCGGTCCAGCAACTGAAAAGGGCAAAGCTGTGTGGGGATGGGCACTAGGAAAGGGGTTGTTGCAGGGACTGTAAGCAGGAGAGGTGCCTCCTCATTTTTGTTTTAGTTTGACCGCCATGCCTACAGGGTGGGGAAAAGGATGGGGAGAGGATGAGAAGGCAGGGCAACTAGAGACTGGTGCAGTTGTCTAGGCTGGGTGGGATGGCAGCCTAGACCAGGACGCGACAGGTGAGGGAGATATGGAGACTAGAGGTAGAACCTACAGGACTTCACCTGCTCCCAGGCTGAAGTCTAAAATCTTAGGATGATCCCCAACGGCATTGAAGGGTTGGTCCTGACCTGTCTTTCCTGCCAGCTGCTCCTACAGCAAACATCTGGGGACCCTGCAGCTTCCTAGAGATATGTACTCGCACAAGGAAGAGCCTGTGCTCACTCCCCTTTGCCCAGACTGCCCTTCCCCTCCCCCACTAAATTTTAAAGCCCAACTCACAAGTCACACTTGATGGGCCAGCTGAGTTGCACATTGGTTAGGAGTTGGCTTGGGACGCCAGCTCTAAGCAGCAGGGCCCCGGTTCAGATCCCACATGAGGGCCAGTGACACTGCCCTCTACAGCTGAGATGGTGAACAACAGCTCAACCTGGAGCTGGGCTGCTGTGAGCCACAGGGGACGGCGATGAAGGCTGCAGTGGGGTTGGCTGGCAGCTGGCGTGCGCTTTCGGCGTAGGCTACAGTGGGGATGGCTGGCAGCTGGCATGGGCCACCACCGAGAGCGGCAGTCCAATGGCCGGCGACTGACTGCCTCACCCGGGAAGAGCACAATGATCACAATACCAACATGGGCCAGTGAAGCGACGTCCTCCACAACTAGACTGAAGAACAAGAAGGACAGCAACTTGTCTGTTCCCCTTCCCCAATTCCCCAATGTTGTTCCCTCCCCCAATTCTCCAATAAAATCTTTAAAAAGTCACACTTGACCCTCACACTTGACTCCTATCCAAGCACTCTCAAAGCCCTCTCCATACTCACCTTAACTCTTACACATCCAACAGTGGTTTGTTCCTATTCATACTCTTTGTAATTCAGGTCTAAATGCCCCATTTCTAGCATGGAAGGGCAACATGAAGTTTGCCCAACATGAGTAAATTGATACTTCTGAACAGGGTGTGACTGCTGGTCATTTATTCTGGAAAGATATTTGATGCAATCACTCAAAAGGAACTAGAGAGCTGTCCTGTATGTCCATCTGACATCCCCCTTCAACTTCTTCCACAATCCATTCTACCCCAGGCTTGCAAGGTGTCTCAACAAATGCTAACTTATTAATACGAAAGCCTAAAATGTTAAGATATAAAATTG